GAATTTACACCTTAGTGAAGGCTGATGAAACTTCAAGAGAAACATCTCTCCTTGAGGACTAATCTTAGGAAGAAAATAAATTAAGCATCCATATAATATGCCAGCCCGATAGAGCTTGAGAAGAAAAGTCTGTAAAGTCATCCCAGAGGTATATATACCCCCAACCCAGGAATATTCTGTTTGATGCACTAGAGTTCAGAATTTGATCCAATTTCTCAGAAACATTGCTTTAGGAATGCTTACAGCTGAGCTTTTGGGTATAGGGTCCATGTACAGTGGCTACCATTTAAAAAGTCTGTATTTATCAACAGTTTCATCAGAGTGTTATGACAGAGGCCTAATATAACATCTTTATAATTCTGTTAGTAGGTCATGGTGTAGCTTGAGGCATGTAAAACCCAGGTTTATGTGAACAGACAAGAAATATTGATAAAGCTTGTCAACATAGTTGAAAACCGCACTTTTTTTTCTGGGTAGACATATCCAAAGAGCCCAGCTTGACTTTTAGATCTTGAGTTGACTATTCAGGGCTAATGGTTAAAAAACCAACAACCATCATTTACTTATCAAATGAATAGACTCAATACCGAAGTCATGGAGACAATAACTATAAGATCCATAATGGCATTGTTACAAACTCACTTTTCAGAGCAGAACTACACTTTAACTCAGCTCTGAAAATAAAACCTAGGGACCCAGTCATCTGCATTAGAAAGACTTTACACAGGAATATTTCAGAGCTTGCATGTGCAGTGCTTTCTCTTCTGTTTACTGAGGTTACTTATTTCACTCCACCGCAGGCATCTTTCAGTAGTTATTCTTATTAGTAAAGATATGCTGTCGTCATTATAAGCTTTCTCATAAATGCCTCTTTTCTTTGATAAGTATTATCAATACTAAGCAGCTTGTCATTGATGAAAAAGGGGTTTCTTTTTCTCTCTCTCTGTCAGTTTCATTTGACGACTTACCACCCACACACTGCTAAGAGCTTTTCCTACCAGTATATCTGAATCCTCAGACTGTCACATTAATTCTTGATAAACTTTCACGTCATAATAAAAAGTACATTTGAATGTCAGTGACTCATTCGTTTGAAACTTCAGATCAAATAAAGGGCACCCAGCCACAAGTGGTATCATGGGACACTTTACGCAACATAGAAACAGTTATGTAACAGGTTGGCATTTTCTGTAACTTTTTGATATCCTTATTCTTGTAATTATTTATTATTTGAGCACTGACACTGTTCTCAGCACCATGCAGAACATATTGGAACACTCTCTATCCTGCTGAGCTTACAGTTTCCAAACTGCGGTAATTTAAACAACATGGGGGTTTTGATACTTTTATTCAATAGGATCCCAGAGCATGATTTTACACATTCTTTGGGTTTAAGAACCACTTTATCCACCACAGAAATAGAACCTAGGGTGGATTTCTGGAGTGACACATGGGAGCTGTTTAGCAGCATTCAGCACCACTCTACAACTGCTTAGGACAGGAAGTAAACACCATAAGTGAAATTCTGCCCTGAATGAAGTCAATAAGAGTTTTGCTATTGACTACAATGGGTCCAGGATTTCACTCCACATCTAAGAAAATTGCAGGAGGAATTTTAGGTAGGAAAAACCTAATTATAGAATAGGAATTTGGTGAGAACATCAGATAGCAGCCCTCCTTTTGCAAAAAGTGCTATGGAGTCCTTACTAGATGCAAGAGGACGTGGTTTCATATCTCAAAGACTAACATTTCTTTGATTTGGAATCTGGATCCAAGATGTGGGAATGCTCAACATAACGAGTTCATGACTGGTTCTCAAGTTATTGGTTGTGAAAGAATCACAGACTCGAGAAGGGGTTTGAGTTTTCCTTTGTGCTTAAAAGCAAAAACAAGTAGTAATCTGTAAGCACTGTGCTTTGTTTTTCATGACCCTTCCCCCCAACTCCCCAAAAGGATTGTGAAGCTTAGTCTACTAGGCTTTTTAGTTTAATAATTGAACTAGAAATTGAAATGGTCTGTGCGACAATTTATCAAGGCTGTTGAAATTGTAACAAGAAACAAGAGTTTCACAAGCTACTAGGAAGCAATGACAGGTTTCAGAGTAGCAGCCGTGTTAGTCTGTATCCGCAAAAAGAACAGGAGTACTTGTGGCACCTTAGAGACTAACAAATTTATTAGAGCATAAGCTTTCATGGGCTACTGAAGTGGGCAGTAGCCCACGAAAGCTTATGCTCTAATAAATTTGTTAGTCTCTAAGGTGCCACAAGTACTCCTGTTCTTTTTGCGGATACAGACTAACACGGCTGCTACTCTGAA